TTGGGTGCAGGAGGGCGTGGTTTCTCTCTGTTTCCGGGCTCAAAGATAATGTAAACTGCACAAATTACCGACGTGTGACTCGGCTTGTGGATGATGAGTGCAAATGCTGGGTCATCTTTGGCTTGAGATATTTTTAAAAGATGATCTTTTTGATCTTAATTAGGTTAGGATACTTACTTTTGACTTTGGAGGTAAATAGTTGGCTTTAAAGGGAGATGGTAATTTTTTCAAAATGGGGTTTCCGATACTATTTTGTAACTCATTTTTGGTACATTCGTGTGTCTGCCTTTTTTTTGCAAAACAAATGAAAATGGAAAAAGCTGTGGAAGATGAGGACTGAGTGACTTATTTTCTGATCTATTTAGTAAAGCAAATTTTGCTTTTGTCAGTTCCAGTATCTTTTCTTTAAGTTAAAGAGGAAAACTACGTAGAATGGTAACTCGTATTAACTACTCAATTGTCCCTCTTGTATAGTGGTGGAATTACTGAAGTCATTGGAGCATTTCAAGTCTTCCCGCTTTCTCTACTTTCAAAATTTGGAAAAGTTAGGTTAATTAGGTGGGCTATAATCCATCAAAATCACGGACGATGAAACGCCCGTCATTCCGCCCTCTGTTTCTGGACTTTCAGATGTCACAGTGACCCCGGTAATCCACTTCTTTTTGCTTCTTAAATTATCAGCGCTGAGCGGAAAGTAGATGTGCTGCTCTGAAGAGAGGCAGCGTTTTGCTCTGTCGGTACCTTATACTATTAAAACCGGGCCGGATTGTGACTGTCCGAGTTACTCTAGAATGCCTAGTAAGGGCTAAAGGTATCACCTAAATGATGAAGAAAGGAAAAAAAGGTTTGGCCCTCCAATCGACTTAGACTACTTCTGACTCCTCGAAATAATCTCACTACTGACTTGCTAATCCATGCGGGCAGTTGTTTCATTATCGAGCCCATTAGGTAAATAAAAATTGTTATCCCCTCTGATTTTTCCCATTTCGGTGTATACCGTCTAAACGTGGGACAGGGTGGCTTCTTGATCAACATCTGGCAGGTATCTCTCATGCGCACCATGTGGCCTGCTATGCCCTCGTAATTAATGCCACTTCCTCCTCTTTGTCAACCTTTTCTACACATTATGTAAGAGCGGACGCACCTTTTTGCCCAAAGCCAATTTTCCTAACTGTTTGCATGCTAACGAATGTCTGCTGACTGCTCTACGTTCAGGCTGTGATAAATGGAATTCCAGATGTGTACTGTAAAATTTCATTTAGCTCTACTGATATTGGAATTGCATTTCCAAGCTGCGGATGTTTAGAAGGTCAGAAAAGGCGCTGCAAAGGATATTAACCCATCACTATGGCCGTAATGGTTCATTACGCTGTGGAATTTGCAATTAACCGGCCCATTCATCACCAAAAATACTGCAATCCCGATCAAAAGTGCCTTAAAAGAAACCACAGTGTCACAGTGTGTATTGTGTGAATTGAGGAGCCTATTTCACTCTGTCATCACGGTGGAATTTGAGGATCAGAGCGTATCTTTACTAGTAATTTCTGCACATGTCACGCATATGTGACGCTGCTTGATGCACAAATAAGGCTGTTCAACATTCAGGAGTGCAAAATGCCAAGCACACCTGTACTTTCGCCATCCGACTGCACACTATGACGTCGCTGCTCATTCAATGGCGTTTGTAGGACACCACACACGCCAGGAAGAAGGG